AAATATTAAAAACACGATGTATCTCGCTGCATTGCGCGAGTACGCTTCTAGTTATAATATAAATATCATAATTTTATGATTCTAATAACTTAATTATTATGTTTACAATTTAATACCAAATTATTGTGTAATAAATTATTAAAATGTTTATCTTTAAAGCAATAAATTTATACAACAACACGAAGTTTTTCTGTTTTAAAAGTTTATTCTAACCCTACTTATTTGTTTTTCAGAAAATATAATATATAAAAAATTAAATAAATAATTAAACTAATTTAATTGGTAATTAGTTCATAGAAAATTTGTATTGGGGTGTGTGTGGAGGGTTGTATATTTGTCGTCTTAGTTGATGCCTATCCCTCAGCTTTTGGGGTTTCTCATAAGCATTTTTAATTAAAGGAATAAATGTCTATCTATATAGATCTAAGAAACATGTTTAAAAAATAACGTTAATTATTTAAAAATAATCGTTAATATATAAAATGATATATGATTTACGTATAAAATCATACATGAGATTTGGATCATGCGAGACGAGTCTGTTTTTATGAGACTACTTTTTACACTTGAAATTTCACAGCAAAATGTTATGAAGATAACCTTCATAGTGTTTTTGTTGTAAAGGTTCCACTTTTTTTTACCTTCACAACATTTTGTTATGAAGTTTCAAGTATAAAAAAATAGTGTTATAGGTCTCACGAAAACAAACTGGTCTCACATAAACTCAACCCTCATACATGATTCACATATATATATTCACTTACAAAATTATACATGAGTCAGATATATATGTTCATACATGGTTCACATACAAAATTATATATACACACACAAAATTATACATGGTTCACGTGTATATATGTTCACACACACATACATATATATATAAGTAAATATAATAATTATTTAATTATAATTTAAAAAATAAGTTTTACTGATAATCATACATATTAAATTAGATTTTTTAAGAACTTATAAAATATAAGTAATTGTTAAAATAATCTTGTTTTCATTAATACCTAAAAAGGACACATACGACAAGATTCCAAATAAAATTTTCGGTTGAACCGTACCCGCCACGACCATGGTCGGTCCCGCCAGTGTAAAGCCTAAAATTCACATTTCTACAAAGTCTAGGGGGTTCAAAGTCATTTTGAGAAACTATAGTGGTGCCTTTGTAAATATATACAACCTCTGTAGTCTGTAGCCCTCCCTGTTTAGCATTTCCGTGATTGCCACAGCTTGTCCTTGTGCTCCGATCTTTATCATTCCCAAAACAATATCATTTCTATCCTTCAAATGCGACGAATTTGCAGACCCATTATTTAATTTAAATATATATATTTTTTAAATAATTCAATTATATATATATATATATATATATATATAATGTGTGTCTCTCTTGCTTAATGGGCAACCAATTGAGTTAAGCTTTCATTGAAGAAGATAAAGATGACACGTGACTAATAGGTTAACCGGTGGCGTGTCGTCTCCGGCCATACCTCAGATAGATAGATAGATAGATACATAATATATATATATATATATTCTTGATTCAGTCTCTATCATTCTTGAATTTCATCTTTTACTTCACATTTTACTTTGATTCTTTTCTTAATACTGTTTTTTCCGGCAAAAGTAAACCAAATGCTTTAAGAAACAGAGCTTTTTGAAGACGATTTAAGCTGGAAAAAATACACAGATATTTGATTAAACTGGGTTAGGCAAAGGATATTTGTGGTAAAGGAATGATGAGGAGAGTTATGATGGAGTTCTTGACTGTTTCGATTCTGGTGGCGGCGACGGCGACGGCGACGGCGGTGTTTGGTGGCAATGTGACGTATGATCACCGGGCATTGGTGATCGACGGCAAGCGCCGGGTGCTAGTTTCCGGTTCTATTCACTACCCTCGAAGTACTCCTGACGTATGAGTCACTACAACCCACCGACACATATACATTCTCTCTCTCTCTCTAGCTTTCTCCCACTATAACTTATCCTAACTTTATTTAAATGAATTGAATTGCAGATGTGGCCAGGCCTAATTCAGAAGTCGAAGGAAGGAGGATTGGATGTAATTGAAACCTATGTTTTCTGGAATTTGCATGAACCTACTAAAAACCAGGTTCTTTTTTAATCTTCAAGAAATCTTGAAACCTAGTCTTAATCATTAATCCTAGTTCTTCAGCTTTTTTAAATGGGTATTTTTGAATCAATACTGGGAAATTCTAATAAACTGAGATCAACTGTTTGAGTCATCGGAACCCAACCCTGTATATTAGACCCATTTTCATTTGACATGCTGACACAATCTTGGACTTCAACAGTATGACTTCGAAGGAAGAAAAGATTTGGTTAAATTTGTGAAAACGGTGGCTGATGCTGGTCTTTATGTTCATCTTCGAATTGGGCCTTATGTTTGTGCTGAATGGAATTATGGGTTAGTGTTGATTTGTGTTCTTTTAATCTTTTTATGTTGACAATGATCCAAGTGCTGGTTGTTTATGTTGTTCCTTGGTTTCTTTTTGTGAACAGTGGGTTTCCGGTTTGGTTACATTTCGTACCTGGAATCGAGCTTCGAACCGATAACGAGCCTTTTAAGGTTTAATTATTCTCTTTTCGTTAGAAAGCTTTCTTAGGATTAAGTCATTTATGGATAAAGCTGTCAGTGTGGATTTGTCTGTATATATTGAGAAGGTTTTTGTTTTAAAACGGTTTTTTCATAGATGTAAAAAGTGTGGACTTTTTACATAAAGATCTCCTTTAGAAGCTTACTAAACAAGTGACTTTCTATATCATTAATCTACTATCAAACAGTCATGTATAGTTGACCGAATAAATTGCGAGGCCTATTAAGCTGCTAACAAACATGTCCTTAATCTACTGGTTCTTGACGAAATGGGCATATGTTTTAGGCCGAAATGAAGCGATTTACAGCCAAGATAGTTGACATGATGAAGGAGGAGAATCTGTATGCATCTCAAGGTGGACCGATAATCTTATCTCAGGTTCGTTTTTTGCTGTTTTAAGTGCTGCAGAATCAGAATGAGGTTTATATGAATATGGAACCTTATTTGTGCATATTTGATGACAGATTGAGAATGAATATGGTAATATTGATTCGGCTTATGGTCCCGCTGCGAAAACTTATATCAAATGGGCAGCGAGTATGGCTACATCTTTAGATACGGGCGTGCCATGGGTGATGTGCCAGCAAAGGGATGCTCCTGATCCAATTGTAATACGAAACAAAGAACCGAATGAACTTTAGTTAAATTCTTGAGGTTGATTAATGCGGATTAATGTGTGATTTTTTTTTTAATGTTGAATGTAGATAGATACTTGCAACGGGTTCTACTGTGATGGGTACACTCCAAATGCTAAAAACAAGCCTACAATGTGGACTGAGAATTGGACTGGATGGTTTCTCTCGTTTGGTGGTGCAGTGCCTTATAGACCAGCGGAAGACATTGCTTTCGCGGTTGCACGGTTCTACCAAAGAGGTGGAACCTTCCAGAACTATTATATGGTTAGTTTCTAGGTTCCGGGTGTGTTTAAGTTTTCAACTTGAGTGTGTTGAGGATGTTAAATATTTGTGGATATTGTGTGTGCCTCCTTGCAGTACCATGGTGGGACTAATTTCGGCCACTCTACTGGAGGACCCTTTATTGCGACAAGTTATGATTACGATGCTCCACTTGATGAGTACGGTATGATTTCTTCTTAAACACCAGCAGTCTTGTTTCGTGGCTTGTTGTGTGTGCAATAGTTTTAGTTTCGTATCGGATCCCTTTTAGAGGTAGATCATGGCTTTGCTACCATGTGAGGTATCGAATATAAATGGTCCAATTCTAGCCGATGTGGGACTCTACATTTAGCATAATTGATTAGTCAACAGGTTAACAATTTTTAAAGATGTTATTAACCAGAATATCTTGTTCGATATATATGATGTAGGAGCGCCTCGACAACCTAAGTGGGGTCATTTGAAAGATTTACATGAGGCCATAAAGCTTTGTGAAGAGGCGCTGCTGGCAACGGATCCAACGACTACTTCTCTTGGTAACAATCTAGAGGTGAGGATATATGGAACCCCTTTAAATCTCTTTCTAAAAGAGCCCTTGAAAAAAGAAGAGATGTTCCTATACGTAGAGTCAGGTTCATGGGAAAACCGTAAAAAAATAAAAAATTGAGGAACACCCTGCTAACCGTCCATCTGGCTGGTATGTACATGTGCATATAAGTAATTTGTAAGCAATTTGTCCATCATGCACATGCATAAAAACCAAGAAACAACTGCAAATACTTGTATGCACATGTGCATACCGTCCAGTACTAGAGTCTTCCTCAGTTTTTTATTTTTTTGAGTTTCCCCTCAACATCTCTCTCTCTCTCTCTCTCTCTCTCTCTATATATATATATATATATATATGTATATATAGGTTTGATGGGCTGTGTCTAACCGATGATGGACTCCAAACAACTCACAACTTTTTTGTGTTTTAGGCCAGTGTCTATAAAACATCATCAGGATGTGCTGCTTTTTTGGCAAATGTGGATACCAAATCTGATGCAACTGTGAACTTCAAAGGCAATTCTTATCACTTACCTGCTTGGTCTGTCAGCATCTTGCCTGACTGCAAGAATGTGGTGTTCAACACTGCAAAGGTTTGTTTGACTTTTATGGTCAATCCTAGCATCTATCAAATTCATTGGTCATTTGGTTTCTTTACCAATTAAGCCCCAACAAGATACTTATGTGTGGCATCAGTTATAAGCTTTGATGTAGTTATCAAAGTTCCCTAAAAATCCCAAGCATCCATGGCAATTTGAGGTTTAAGTTGGTCCATTTTTGTCTTAAAAGTCTTGACACTGTTGCTAACTTGACCTTCAACAGATAAACTCTGTCTCTACCATCCGAAGATTTGTAGCTACAAGTGTTAGAAATGACCTAAGTGCTTCAGAGGCACTTTCATCGGATTGGAGTTATGTTAGTGAACCCGTGGGGATCTCGAGTGATAACGCCTTCAATAAACAGGGATTAGTGGAACAAATCAACACCACAGCTGATCAAAGTGATTATTTGTGGTATTCATTAAGGTATAAAACAAACTTTCTGGTTTGCAAATGAGTCAATCATGGCTTCTTATTCGATTCTAGAGCTTTTCCTATGGTTATCTTGCAGCACCGACATTAAAGGTGATGAGCCCTTCCTTCAAGATGGGTCTCAAACAGTTCTTCATGTGGAATCACTAGGCCATGTTCTTCATTTGTTCGTTAATGGTCAAATTCAAGGTACGAAAAGCAACAAAGAAGTCAAAAGGGACCCTTCTGTTATCTTTCCTGATGAGTCTTTGAAATTGTAACTTGTAGGTAGTGCAATTGGCAATGGGATTTCCAAGGATATCCCCATCACCCTCAAGACTGGAAAGAACAAACTCGATCTCTTGAGTGTGACTGTTGGACTTAAGGTTTGACCTCCTCCTTAAATTTCTACGATGTTGATATGGGTAACAAGTGAATACATAACGGTACTCAGCTGATCTTCGTGTACAGAACTATGGTGCGTTTTTTGATAAAGCAGGCGCTGGTATTACTGGTCCAGTGCAGCTTAAGGGCTTAAAGAACGGGTCAACTGTTGATCTTTCATCTCAGCGGTGGACATACCAGGTGGGGATACACACACACACCCCGAAAGGGCGCTGTATATACGACTCTTTTGGACTTTTGACCATATCTTGTAATTTATTGACATCTATGGGTACATCGCAGGTTGGACTAAAAGGCGAAGCACTAGGCCTGCACACAGGAGATTCTTCACTTTGGGTGTCGGGGTCTTCCGTTCCCAAAAGTCAACCTTTGATATGGTACAAGGTAATATCAAAGTTCTTGTAGAACCAGAAAGTACGATAAAACAGACCAATTTCGACATGCTAAACCAGAACTTGTGTTAAAACAGACGAGTTTTGATTCCCCTGCGGGTGATAATCCAATCACGATTGACTTCACTGGGATGGGGAAAGGCGAGGCGTGGGTAAATGGAGAAAGCATTGGGCGTTATTGGCCGTCTTATAGCGCCCCAAATGGCGGTTGTGCAGGCTCTTGTAGTTACAAAGGGCCATATGGTTCAACAAAATGCCTCAAGAATTGTGGGAAACCGTCACAAACTCTGTTAAGTGAAGTCTTTCTTGAATATATTTGTCGAAAGTATGATTCTTTTTGCTAATCAAATTGATCTTGCAGGTACCACGTACCCCGATCATGGCTGAAACCAAGTGGGAACGTACTGGTGTTGTTTGAGGAAATGGGTGGGAACCCTACACAAATCTCTTTTGCAACACAAGAGTTGGAAAGTTTGTGTTCTCGAGTCTCTGAATCTCACCCGCTCCCCCTGGAAGCGTGGACTCAGGATAAAAAGTCAGGAAGAAAGTCAAAGTCAAAGTCAAAGCCAAGAGTCTCATTCGAATGCCCTCATCCTAATCAAGTCATTGATTCAATCAAGTTTGCTAGCTTTGGAACACCTCAAGGGAAATGCGGAAGTTTCAGTCATGGTGAATGCCGGAGTACTGATGCCCTTTCGATCCTACAAAAGGTCAACTCTTTTGATATTGACTATGTTCGTGTTCGTGTGTGTGTATATATATGTTTAAATAAACTGTTTCATCTTACGATTGCTAAACATTACAGGCGTGCATTGGGTCAAGAACTTGCAACATTGAAGTCTCGACAGGCATGTTTGGTGATCCTTGTACAGGTGTAGTTAAAAGTTTAGCAGTAGAAGCTTCGTGTGCATAAAAAACACGAAAGCATGGCTTTTAAGGTTATCGATGTCTCCGGGCAACCATATAATCATAGAATAAAATCATTTTAATTGCATAATAATGAATTTCATGAGGCTTTATTCCCCTTATTAACACATTTCAATAGAGATCATCAAAACATGAGATTACGAAACTAGAATAATTGGTCAGTATTGAGATATACCAATAGCGATAGCAGCAGCAGCAGCAGTCTCAGATTGTCGTTGAAACCTGCAAACTTTGCAAAGTGGGGAGGTTAGAGATGGAGTTTCATACTTGTCCTCCCCACCCATCATTGGCATGGCGATTCCTCTCTTCACCGGACTCACATACTCCGGCCGGTAAGTTTTCCCCAGAATGCCCTCCACATCGTCGGAAAGATTTGAGAACCTGAACTGTGTCTCGAAGTGGGCAAATGCGTCGTTTAATGGTAACTGGTAGTTGTGGGCTTTGTCATCTTCCTTAGTTATAGGGACAGCCTTCATGTCGATCTCTACCAACCCACCGACAGTAACTCTCACGGTGTTAGTGTCGTCAGTCCTCTCAACCACCACTTCTCTTACTCCGGTGGTAGTTTTCCATTCGGCATTTCCTTGAAATGGGATGGTGACTTCTTGGCCGTCCCATTTCATGAGAAGTACGTCAACGGAGTCGTCCCATTTTGGGACCTTCTTGGCTGCAAGGACTAGGGTGTGGGTGTCAAACATGACTGACACGGATTGAACCCATGTGTAGTCACGCTTCCTACCGATGGGTCGGTTTCCGATGAAGTGGGCGTTGATTTGGAGGTTGGTGTCCGAGACGAGGGCGAAATCACGTCCTTTACTGCCATGGAAGTAGAACATCACTCCATCACCACCAACGAACCTTGGATCATAACATAAAGAACCATACCCATTACATTTCGGCCTTCTCCCTGCGAAAATTAGAACTCAAGTTTGTTAGACAACAATATATAAGATTAGGTATTCAAAGAAACATTTGGTCGAAGAGGTTGTATGCTTACATTTGCAAGTAGCTTCACACTTGCTACCACAATTGATATGGCACCCTTTGTTCTTCTTGTTCTTCTTGGGCTTCCTCTGGGGGCACTCCGCTGGACAAGTTAGTGTCTTGTAGTGACACTCCCCTTTCGATTTACAAAAAGCCCGTTCGCATCCTGATTTTGGGTCTGGTGTCAAATCGTCGTAGTTAGTGGCATCGTCTTCAACGGGAGAAGGCTTCGGCTTCACCTCTTTAGGCGCCGGCGCTGGTTTCTCCTTAGGGGCCGGTGGTTTCTGCTCCTTAGGTACTGGTGCCGGAGTCTTCTTACTGTCGTCATCCTTTTTTGCTGGTGGTTTCTGCTCCTTAGGTGCTGCTACTGGTGCCGGAGACTTCTTACTGTYGTCATCCKTTTTTGCTGGTGGKGTCTGTTCCTTAGGTGCTGCTACTGGTGCYGGAGACTTCTTACTGTYGTCATCCTTTTTTGCTGGTGGTGTCTGTTCCTTAGGTGCTGCTACTGGTGCYGGAGACTTCTTACTGTTGTCGTCGCCATGATCTTTATCGTCTTCAGCTCGAACAACGGTAGCCCCAATGGTGATTAATATGAGTAGGAAAGCCACCAAAATGAATGACTTCCCCATATTCAAAATCTTGGTAGCTTAATTACTTGCTGTTGGTATAAAGAAGGATGAATGGGATGGTTTGGTTGAAAAGACAGGGAGAAGCCATTTATAGGGGAATAAAGGAGGTGATGATAGCATGCATGGAGTTCGCAGTAATCCATGTTTACCTGGTTTGCCTTCTATTCTAAAAAGAAACTTGCAAACCATGACGACCAGACGTTTCCTTCCTCCAAGAAATATACCTGCTTTTTTAAATATAAATTCTCCCCTCTTAAATTATATTCATTTAGTATAAAATATTGTTTTCTTTTTTTATATCATTACAGATTGTTTATCAAATACTTATCCGGATAATTGTTACCGATAAAATTCAACAATATCATAACTTTTTTACCGGATAAGATTTTTAGTCTAGCAAAACGGTTTCGATACAACAATTTACCTGGTAGGCGTTAACTATTGTAAGTCATCGCTTTCACTTAGTAAGACTCGATTATTGTCTTTGCTTTTTCGGGATAAAATTCTTGGTTCTTACTATATTCATCCGGTGAGGTAATGTGACTTGGTAAGGGTAAGCGTTTGGTAAATGGCCTTTAATTTTAAGGTTCTTATTAGTCGAAAAAAATAAAAAAATATTTTCCTTGCATAGATAATCATATTTTGAGAGTTCTAAATTTGAAAATTTTCATATGTTAAGTACTTTTTCTATTTTGAAGAAGGTTTTGAGAAATTTATTAGAGAATCTGTTGGAGATGCTCTGACAAAAATTATACAAAATCCACATTTTTTTTCCTCATGTAATATTATTATTTTTCACAAACAAGAGTAGAAAGTGTAAGAAAATTGTCTTTTAGATGTATCCGCAATTGTGAACATTGGTTTTACGGACCTATGACTATTTTGGTAATCTAGAGAAAAATGACTAAAAAGTGAAACCAACCCTGAAAAATGGCTATGTTAACAAAACGTATATATTCAAAATAAATTTGATTAATTTACATAATTAAAATAAAAAAAATAGAAGGTTCACATGGGACAGACAGCATCTAAGAGCTTTGCTTAACCATGTATTCATGCACTTCTTTTGGGGGCCAACAAAAAGTTGGATCTTTTTACAAGATTGTTGTTTTTTTTATTATATTTTCAATTAAAATAAATATATTTAATTCATCATTTTTACATCAAATCAACCAAATACGATGACACAATTAAAAGTCATTTTTAATTACGTTTAATGCAAGAAACACCGCTTGGTTACAATAGGATAATACAAAAGTTTCATTTGATCGCCAACACTGATTCATTTCTAAATATTCTTTAGTGTTCGTTAAGTCTTGATCAGATTTTACATTTTGATTTGGACACTCTAGTTATCATTGAATCAACTTCAGATCACGAACTGTTTTCTCTGTCTACAGCTACTTCTTCGACATCGCTAAAGGTTCATTTGATGTGAGTTTTGTTTTTGAGAAATACTTGTTTTGAAATTTAATATACATGTGAGGATAGATATTGGAACTAGATTATGGACACGAAGCTTAACTCAAGGGGGTACCTTCCATTTTCCCTCTTTTTAATGTATAGATATGCCACCAAGCCTTCAATTAAATCAAACTAAGGTGTCGTTTACCAAATGCTTATATGGGTAAACGCTTACCAAATCACTTTACTTTACCAGATAAATATGACAATGACTAAAAATCTTATTCGGTAAGAGCGAAGGCAAGAATCGAGAGTCTTACCCGGTAATGAAGACGATGACTCTTACCATGGTTAGCGCTTACCGGGATAAATTGTTGCATATGATGTTTTTTAGTGAATAAAATATTACTCGGCAAGTAAACGATAATGTTGAATTTTACCGATAAGTGCTTACCGGGTAAGTGTTTAGGTAAACGGCCCTTAAGTTGAGTTTGAATTTAACTTGATGGTGTTAAACTAAACTCGAGTTTGATTTGATATATAGTTGGACGAGATTTCTTGAAGCAAACTTAGGGAATTCGAGTTAATTCAGAATCTAGGAAACGTCCACCAGAATTACATAAGATAAAACAAGCTTAATGTAGAAACTCAAAATTAGTTATCAAAATTATATTCGACAAAAATAAAACAATTTGAACTTTACCGCAAAACAAATACCATATTTTGATTATATCAAAGGGTAGATTAGTAATTTTTTAAGTTTCAGTCATATTAACGTCCCATCTTGTTCTAACTATTTGGGTTCAACAAAAAAATTCCAATTTATCCCACCAAGGCCTAGTCCTTGTCTCTGACTTATGTCGTCATTGCACTACTAGAAAACTGGGCATTTCCGGCGGATTTTCCGGCGGACAAATTCCGTCGGAATTTTTCCGGCGGATTACCGGCGGATTTCCGGCGGTATTTTAAAAAGTCAACTTTTGTTGACTTCCGCCGGAATTCCACCGGAAAAGTTAAACCGGTTATATTTCCGGCGGATTTCCGGCGGATTTATTAATTTTGGGTTAATTAATCTTTAAAAAGTAATTAATGTTTGGAAAAAA